GGATAGATATCTTAGTCTGATGAATCTTTCTCCTAAGATACCAAAAAAAAAGAGTGATCTAGTCTGATGAATTTTCTCCTAGGATAGATGTCTTAGTCTAATAAATTTTTCTCCTAAGATAGAAAACATATTCTGATTAATTTTCTCCTAGGATCAAAATCTTAGTCTGATGAATCTTTCTCCTAAGATAATAAATTAGAAAACCTAGTCTGATGAACTTTCTCCTAGGATAGATGTCTTAGTCTGATGAATTTTTCTCCTAAGATAGAAAACCTAGTCTGATGAATTTTCTCCTAGGATCAAAATCTTAGTCTGCTGAATCTTTCTCCTAGGATAGAAAACCTAGTCTGATGAATTTTCTCCTAAGATACCAAAAAAAGAAAAAGAAAAAAAAATAAAAATGGACCTAGTCTGATGAATTTTCTCCTAGGATTAACATCTTAATCTGATGAATCTTTCTCCTAAGATAGAAAACCTAGTCTGACGAATTTTCTCCTAGGATATTTTGAAAAAAAAATGAAGTCTGGATTTAAAAAAGAGGAGTCATTTTTTTTTGTTTTCTTAAGATTATCAATGTTTAGTTTTCCTGAAATCAGGGGGCCCCGCCTGGAGAATAGGGTCAGTTTTTACTTTAGTCAAGCTTAGTTTATAGTTTTTCGCAAGTTCAATCACTTTTAGGAGACGTACATCCTAGTCTAGTCTTTAGTTTACTCATCATTGCATCAATAGTATAAGTGGTTTACAATATTGCTAACAACTCACAAATCTTCCTAGTGCAAACTGGGGCAGAAAAATTTCATTTGTTTTGTTGGTTTTGATTGCAGTTATCCACATGGAAAACAAGGGAACACAGAAAGTTTCAGCAATCAGGTGCCCACCTGGAGAACAAGGGAAAACAGTTCAAGTTTCGAGGAAAACCAGTTATAAGTTTCAAAGGAAGACAGTTCAAGTTTCAGCAATCAGGCGCCCACCTGGAGAACAAGGGAAAACAATTTGAGTTTCAAGAGAAAGCAGTTCAAGTCTCAAAGGAAAACAGTTCAAGTTAGAAGTAGCAGAAGCTCGCGACAAGAAGACGAGTTAACAGACGAGATGATCAATGGAAGTAATCTCAGTCCAGAATTAAAAAAAACAAAAAAAAACAATAAGAAAAGAAAAAGCAAAAAAAGGGAGTGAAGCCAAAATGCAGAAGTTGAAACAAGAGCCGGATTGCTCAAGACATGACTGAGGTCACAAGCACTGCATGTCCGGTCTTGATCCAAAAATCTAAAGAAGAACGAGCTAGCACGTGCAGCTAACAAGCGTCAAGGTTCAAATCTAAAGTCTGTATGAAGAACCATTCAAGACTCAAGATCAAGATTCAGAAGACTTATAGATAGGAATCTTGTAACTCGTAGTTGACAGGCTTAGCTAGTCTTTTTCATGTTTTGATTTTTGATGTAATAACGGGACCATGGACCGGAACCTCAGCGGAATGACACCTCGATTGGCTCTCTACCTCGGAATACTCCATCATCTCACTCACCTCTGAACTACACGTGGCCTGATTCTTTTATAGCCAATGATATGTAGGCAGCTCAGATACCAGGGCTCGGTCACATTCCCCTTTTCTCTTAGTTTTAGTCTCTCTAAATAAGGGTCGGGTCAAAAAACCTATCTAGTCGTTCTTTGTCTGAAACCTCTTTGCGTTTCCAGTCAAAGAGGGGCAGCTGTAGACATGTGATTTTTGACCCTCCCCAAGATTTTTCATTTTTTAAGCACGTAAATATTTAATTTAAGCCTAATATAGCTATTTCATCTAATTTTGACTCTTTTACTTTATTTCATCACAAAAAATGAAAATTACAAAAAAATATTTTAGTTTATGTATCTTTCGTAAATTTAAATAACAAATATACAAAATAGTACCTTATCTTTATTTTTATATAATCTTGAAAACACAAAAAAATAGTTTTATGTTTTATAGTTTAGTTCAATTAATTAAAATTAGTTTTATATTTTTATATTATAATTGTACATAATTTTAGATGGAGAAATTAGTTTTAGGTTGGTTTATCCCATCTTTATAAATCTTGTAGTCCATTTCTCTAGTCTTTGGCTTCCCTAGCTCATAATTCCTAGGCCCATACCCCTAACCTAATTCCTACCCCTATATAATAGTACCTAACACCTAAATATGGACACACCTAAAAACACACAATCAGCCGATAAAAAAAGAAAAGGCGGCGCCGCAAACAAAGAACCCCACCTCACAAATCCGGCTAACTGGACACCATAATCGAAATACACAAACATACAAAAAACAAAAGAAACCAAAAGCAACACAACGGCAATTAAATAAGAAAGTAATATATTCCCCACATTTTGATCCTTTGATTTCACGTGAGAGTCAGCAGCTTTTTTTTCAATTTCGAAGTTCGATTATCGCTAATCAAATCGAGACTCGGACTTCTTCGATTATTTGGTTCTTCATGGCCTAGAAACGAATTTCGAAGGGATAGAAAGTTGAAAAGTTTTTGGTTTTGTTATGGATATGAAGTGCCAGTTTATGTATTGTCTGAATGTTTGATTGAGCGGAGGTTGTCTCAGGTTTTTCGATTCCGATTTGTAATCTCGATGTTTCGGTCCAAGGATTGTAGCTTTGTTTAGCCGATTGATTTGCACTTTTCGGCTTTGTTCATCAATAAAAGGTCACTTTCTCACTTTAAGATTTTTCATGTGTTTATTTTGATTTGGTGAATGTTTTAGTTTGATACCTTGCGTTTTCATGCCATATATGTGATTTCAATTTGTTTGTACATTTGTGGTGCTTAAGTTTATTATGTTAAATTATTAAGGGTTGGTCAGATTTTCCCATTTTTAGTTGTTGAAGTAGATTTCGTGTTCAAATGGAGCATATATTTTGCGTTACTAATTTCAGCAATTAGGCTATCTAGGAAAGTGTAGATCTGTTTTTGGTCAATTTATATTAATTTTTATTGAATTCCTTTGTGTCAGTTCATTGTAAAATGTATATTTTATTCACCTCAAGTGGTAGTTGCTTTAGATTTATATTAATCTTTGAAAGTGATGTTTTTTTTTCTTTCACTGAATTTTATCGTGGAGCAATAATCTCATATTTAGTCTTATGAAAATCATGAACATCCGTAGATTGCTTTAATTGAGTATCAATACTTAAGAATAATTCAAGGTGTGTCATGCCAAATAAAACTCTTAAGCCCATGGCCCTCACAAAACTAGTTAACTCTTTAGAAATCAAGGTATGTCATTTAGTTGAATTTTCCATGGCCCTCGCAAACTTAAAAGTGCGTAGTTGCTTTAGGCGCATAATTTAAATTAATTTCCTTAAACTCGGGGGTGCATTTATGTGACCCAAATCCAAAGCTCAACAACGTTAGATAAAATGTGTCGTGGACCGCGGGTGCATTTATGTGACGTGGTTCAAGACGTGTTTTAGATGACATTGAATCTTTTTCCTAAAAAATAATTAATTAAAGCGGTTATAAGTTAAAATTATACCATAGGCTAAAACATGTATTAAAATCAGATAATAGGCCAAATATAACAGTTGAGCGACCGTGCTAGAACCACGGAATCCGGTAATGCCTAACACCTTCTCCCGGGTTAACAGAATTCCTTACCCGGATTTCTGTGTTCGCGGACTGTAAAATAGAGTCAATCTTTTCCTCGATTCGGGATTCCAAACCGGTGACTTGGGACACCATAAATCATCCCTAGTGGCGACTCTAAATTTTTAAATGAAATAATCCCGTTTCGATTGTCACTTTAATTGGAAAAACTCTCGTATACTCTCTTCCAGGGGGTGGTAAAAAGGAGGTGTGACAATGCCCTAGCAACGTTCATGCATTTGATAAACAACATGTTTCGGCCTTATCTCGACTCGTTTGTCATAGTTTTCATTGATGATATTCTGGTGTATTTGCGTAGTCAAGAGGAGCACGTGGAGCATTTTAGAGTTGTGTTGCAGAGATTGAGATCTCACACGGTTTGCTTGTTCATAAATTCCATGTATCTTAATTGTTATGTGGCGAAGTTAGGAATATTTTTAAGGGTGTTGATGCCTTGAGTAGGAAGGCGATGAGTATGGGGAGTTTGACATATATTCCAGCTGGGGAGAGACTCTTGTAGTTGATGTTCAGGCCTTGGCCAAATGGTTCATAAGGTTAGATATTTCGGAGCCCAGTCGGGTATTGGCTTCTGTGCTTTCTCGGTCTTCCTTATTTGATCGCATCAGAGAGCGCTAGTATGATGACCCTCATTTGCTTGTCCTTAAGGACAGAGTTCAGCACGATGATGCCAGAGATGTGACCATTGGTGATGATGGGTGTAGACATGTGATTATTGACCCTCCCCAAGATTATTCATATTTTAGCGTAAATATTCAGTTTAGGTTTAGTATCGCTCTCTTTACTTTATTTTATCTAAAAAAAAAAGAAATTGCAAAAATATTTTTCCTTATTCTAGCTAGTTGATATTTTGTCTAGTTAATTTTATTTTTGAAAAAATACAAAAAATAGTCTTGACATTTTATTTTACAAAAGATAGTAAGAAAACTTTCACAAAATAGTTTTACTTAGTTTAGTGCAATTTTTAAGTTGTAGATCTTTAGCGAATGCTAAGTAGGATTTAGATTTTTCTAATATGATTATTTTCTTTCTATTTTAATATTACCTATTATACTTAGATAATTAGTAATTTGTGAAGCTATTTTGTTCAAAATTAATTCAACTTTAAAAAAAAAGAAAAACAAACAAACAAAGCAACCAAAAAGAAACAAACGAAAGAATATGTGAAGGAAAAGAATGAAAAGCGCAAAAAGTAGAATGCAAAATTTGAACGTGGCTTTCCATTTTGTTGTTGGATCCTTATTTGTTTATTTCATGTGAGCACATAGGCATTTTGGTGAGAACATTCTCAAAGCAATAGGGGGCCCACACGTTTTTAGGGCTTTCTAGACACTCACATTTTGATACTTAAAAAGGGATATACAGTAGAGAGGAGATAGAACGGAAGGAACAAGGAAAGAATAGAAAAAATCCTTAGTGCCGCATCACTCACATTGGACAGCAAATTCACACACTTAGTGATCTTTCTTCTTAATTTCCTTCCATAACACCCAACCTTTTTCCTCTGCGATTGGTTGACAAGTTGATCTCCATATTGTTGCCTACTAATCGAAATCACCCAAAAACTTCGTCTCTACCCGTTTTGGTCTCCATCTCTTTCTTTCGTTCTCAAGATTAATAAAGGTATAAATCATGGGTTGAGTTCAGTAAGATGTCCGACGAGGCTCTCCGGTGGAGATCTTGTTCGCGGTTTTGTCACTTTTGCGTTTCTAAGCTGCCACTCATTTAAATTTCAAATTCATTTAAGGTCTATTTCTTCTTTTCTTCTTCTATTTTGCTTAATATCATGATTTCATTACTTCGCTAATTTGTCGTTGCTCTATTTCGTTAAATATTTGAACTGATGCTTCTTTGCTCTGTTTCAAGATGCCTTGGCAATATTTGTTTACTCCATTTTGTTGCAAATTATTGTTTATGTATATATTTTAGTTTAATCTGTTTGGATGGGTTTTGATGGCTAGAATAAGTTTCTTTTGATTCCATGTTTCCTTGCTTTATTAAGAGATAATTGTTTTAAGCTTCACAATTAATATTTTGATGGCAACAGACTTAAATTAACAAAATTAAGCAGGCTGATTTTGAACTAATAAAGGGTGGGTGCATTATTTGGTGAGCAATTTAATAATATTTAGTTCTTAAGTTGCAAAATGTAGGGTTTTCTGTTGAAGCATTAGCAATTTAGTCTTTTTGTATAGAATTTATTTTGTTCGGATCTTTTCACTTTTTATCTAATCATGTCTTTGGAATTGATATTTCAATTATTAGGTCCATCTGCTTTGCTCATTATGTGGGATTGATTCACGAGTTAAGCCGATATCTAGTTCAAGTAATTTGGCCGTAAAGTGTTGAGTTGAAGCAAACCTTTGGTTTAATAAATGGTGTACTTCATCCACAAAGTTATTTTCATAATTCATGGTCTCACAACAATCTCAAATTAGTTTAGGAAATAATTAATTATGAACATTCATGGTTTGTTTTAGTTGAATACATTCTTTTGAAGCAAGTTGAGGTGCGCCATTCGCTAGAAAACTCCATAACCCTTGACCCTCACTTAATTAATTTTAATCCTTTAGAAATCGGAGTGTGACATTTAGTTGAATTTTCCATGACCCTCGCAAACTTGAAAGTGCATAGTTGCTTTAGGCGCTATATTTAAATTAATCTCCTTAAACTCGGGTGTGCATTTATGTGTCCCAAATTCACTCTCAACAACGTTAGATAAAATATGTCGGCGACCGCGGGTGCATTTATGTGACGTGTTTTTGACGTGTTTTAAATTACGTTGAAATCTTCCTAAAAATAATTAAATAAAAGCGGTTTTAAAGTTAAAATTGCACCATAGGCTAAAACATGTACTAAAATCAAGTAAATAGGCCAATTATAACAATTGAGCGACCGTGCTAGAACCACGGAACTCGGGAATGCCTAACACCTTCTCCCGGGTTAATAGAATTTCTTAACCGGATTTCTGTGTTTGCGGACTGTAACAGAGTCAATATTTTCCTCAATTCGGGATTTGAACCGGTGACTTGGGACACCATAAATTATCCCAAGTGGCGACTCTGAATTTTACATAAAAATAATCTCGTTTCGATTGTCACTTTAAGTTGGAAAAAACTCCATATACCCCTTTTCGGGTGTAGGTAAAAAGGAGGTGTGACAGCTCTGGCGACTCTGCTGGGGAAAAGAACCCAGAATCTCTAGTTCAGGGTTCAAGAATTCGAGCTTAGAATAATTGTTATAATTGGCTATATTTATTATCTGATTTTATTACATGTTTGGGCCTAATGTGCTAAACGTTGTTTTTTATCGCTTTGATATTATTTGAATTGTATATAAACTGCTACGAAACCCCTATCTTCTCTCTTCTGAGGAGTGCACGCTGGCGTGACT